CAATCCCCCCCCCCCCAAACACAAACAAACACACCACCCCGCTGCTGGAAATAGTCACTACAGCACCTACAGTACAGTTAATTGTGTATTAATACACAGCTAAAAATTCTCTTGAACAAATACAAAAATTACTTCTGCTTGATAACATTTGCTTAAAAGCAGTTTTACATCTTCAATAGGAACAAACTGGCTCGGCCTGAAGCCGCAGACAGTAGGAGAATAATCAGGAATAATGCCAGGAACCACAATTAACTTCTCTTCAATCCTAAATTACAGCAGAAATGCCTTTGAATAAAAATAACAAATCTTAATTAAAAACATGACTGACACAAAATAAGCCTGAATGGAAATTTTGGAATCTAGCCTGAAAATAAGGCCAAGAAATGTAGTGAGTGTGAGTCCTCAACATTGATCCCCTCTGGCTGTCAGAGAGGAGGACACACTATTTCCTTTCTTTCAACAAGTCGATGGGCCTTGACCCTTTTAATGGCAAAGCCCTAGAGTTGCTGCTTGCTGCCATTAGCCACCCTAAGCCTCCAGCGCCAACCAAAGTGGAATAAATGGGCCGCAACACAGCAACATCAGAGCTTTATACACTAGAGAGAACTGAGGGTCGAAGTTAATATGGGAGGGAGAGCAAGAAAAAACTAAACTGATGCCTTTATTCATAAAATGTAGCTCATGCAGCACTGTGGTGTGCATACCTGTGACTGGCTGATCTGAACCCATTTATAGGACTGTGATTCATGTGACAAAGTCATATTATTATTTTACGCTGTAAAAATATATGGTAACTTGAAGCTTTTGTGGAAACATTTTAAACATATACATTGGTCTGGAATTTAGTAATAAAGAAATATGTCAACCAGGTAGAGGTGGGTTTCACTGATGTGCTTCAGTTGTTTTTGAACAACAACAGATGTCAGTGGCACAGATAAATAAGCTAACCCAGGTTGGACACTGACAGACATTAACTGAGTAGACGCAGTTCATTCTTGGTTTTAGTCTCTGCATGGAACTTGTTGAAAAGTCTGCATCCTTTAAAGCTTAAGAAGACCAGAAATGTGTTCTCGTTAGTTAATATTAATTATGTTTGTATATTTATTATTTAAAATGATAATGGTTCAATAATCTTGGTAATATATTAATATGATGTGAAGCTCAGTGAGGTTTGCACTTCAATCAAAATTTATTTATATAGCACTTTAAAAGCAACATCTGGTCGACCAAAGTACTTTACAAAAGCAATGTAAAAACCAGAATAAATAATATTAATATAGAAATAAAACAACATAGGAACATAAAAATACAAACTACACAGAATCAACAGTTAAAAGAAGGAAGCATCAAACAATATGTATTAAAAGCCAAAGTGAATATAAGAATCTTGAGAATACGTTATTTGTTTTGAAGGGCTACATTTTATTTTTATATTTTCAGTACATTTCAGAGCCTGTACTTTACTTTTACTCAAGTAAAGAGTTTGAATCAGTACTTCTCCCTTTACCAGAGGTTGTTTTTTTTTTTTTTTTTTTTACATAGGTATCTGTACTTCTTGAGTAATGAACATGTGTACTTTTACCATCTTTAGTAAAGTGCAGTATTAGGTCAGATAGCAAAAAATATATATTATTAAAAACATGCCGTAAATAACTAGAAAAAGACTAGTGAAGGTTGCTCTACCACTGCCAGAAATTTAGGATCTCTACCAGGGTGTGTTGACCTATTTTGTCAGAAGCTATGCAGTATAATATGCAGGACTTCTGAAGTACTGCAGAGGACACACACATGCACAAACACACAAGGTTTGTAGTTTCATGTTGCACACGCTGAAGACAAGTGTGTGTTTATCTCGGGAGGAGTAGGTCGATGGCAGAAAAACTGCTTGGCACCTGCAAGGCTTTTTGTTACTGCAGTCTGGTTAAAACCTACTGTAGCTGAGCTGATTGGAACACCTGTAGAATTACAAATGCAGACTTTGTTAATTAGGGGGTTTGCATTTAACATCAAAAAATATGAAATATCTCCAGGTTAAAAGTGCAATTTCCAAACACTGAATAATGGCGATAAAAGGTTCGTCATCAAAGACGTCTGCAAAACTTCAGCTAACAACAAAAATAATGTATGGGGTTCACTGCAGTAGTTGCACAGGCGATGTTAGGAGTAAATGTATTTATTTACTGGTGTTTACCACGTTCATTTTCCAGTATTAGTTGTGAATTTATGCAATTTAAACAAAGATTACAAAAAAATAAAATAAAATAAAACCCACAGCCCATATTTTTCATCTCAGTCTGCACACAAACACTAAACGCATCTGCGGACAAGTGGAGCAGCAGAAATGGGGTCTGTCATTTGAAACAAATGAAAGCCATCCACTACAATAAGTATAACCTAGAGTTAATGTACTAAATTGCTGCCTTAGGACTCATTGAGCCCCAGGTTTATGCGCACAAGTCTGTACTTGATGTACTTATATTACAGATAAGAGAATTCCACAGTGATTATACCTCTAACAGCTGCAAGTCACAAAAAGGAAAAGTAGGAGAAACAGGGGGTGAGATATCCAAGAAGCACAGACAAAAAAGCAAGAAGCTGTTTGATACGATAGTTTCACTGACAGCGGGTCCCAGATGTTTCTGTAGTGGCTGCGCTGAGTGACAAACACTAGGTGATTATGATAAACCACCCTGATTGTTTGAGGGGAGCACAGTAATGTCTCAGTCTCCTCAACTGAGAGACTGCAGCAGCCCACAGCTGCAGACAGCTAGCCAGCATCACAGGACAGGTAGATATCAGGCAATTACACTGTAGAAAAAAAAAAGTCCTCTCCAGGTCCATAGCCAGTTTTTTAAAGTTTTTTTTAACCCTGAGACAAATTCTGCTGAGTTTATCATGTTTCAGACTTCTTGGAACTTCTTGCTGAAAGACAATGTACGGTGGTCACATGCTAGTGGAAAGAGCAGTGACTGCCTGGCAAAAGCCAGCAGTTAGAGAATAATAACTGTGGGAAGTCTCTGCACCAGTTCAACACAACTATTTGACATCTGCGACATCATTTATTTACCTCTAAACCATCAGCCTTCAGAAAAACCCCTGACAGAATGTGAGGACAAAACTGTGGAGGAACTGTGTTACACCTGAAACCTTCCATTTTGATTTGAATGTTTCTTCATCTACTGTATTTTAATGCTGTTATGATCGAGCTTACTGTCCTGCTCTTGGTCGTCTCATGAGAGTCTGCTGATCCTCTTCTGGGTATAAAAGTCATCAAGGGACAAAAGATCTTTGTGGTCACATGCTGCTTCATATCACTAACAGTCTTATGTTGTTAATCTTTCTTTCTTTAACAAATCTTATTTATACATAAATAGGTTTTTTCCTTCAAACTAGTATTTTGTAGTAGGGATGCACTGACACCAGCATCGGGTCTGATTCTGCCCTCTAGTATTCATATCAATGCAAACGCACCGATACTGCTTTAGGGCAACATTGTGTTACCCTCACATTCGCTGGGCAGGTACTTAGATGGAGAACAACTTTAACAGTTTGGACATATTTTAAAATAAGTATTGACGACAAAAGCTCTGCTAAGTAGTGGCTTTTAAATTTTTGTATCTTATTTAACCAATTCCTTTGACATGAGCATACACAATAACATCTACCCACAATGTGAGATGTCAGCATCATTCCGGTTCTTAATTTACACTTAATAAACCACGGTGGTCTATCAGGATTTATTTTGTTGAAGCTCTTCTTACCCTCCTCTTTTGGGTGTTTCAGTATTATGCCCCTGACAGCACTGCAGGCTAATGTAGCTTTTTCACCAAACATGCATCGTTGTTCTCTACTCACTGGGGCCCATTGAAACCATCAGGTGCCCTATAGTTTGTTTTTACACCTACCCTTCAGACAGCTTGAGTCCATCAATGTTCAACAGGGACTGTGTGAAAAACTATGTGCCAGTGGCAACAGGTGTTGAAAAATTAAGCCATAACTTCCTGATTTAAATAAGTTATTAAGGTTAAGTTCTGCAGTGTGGACCAACACAGATTCCATTAAGACAGCATGGAACACTTGCAGTGGTACAGTATCAGTCAGTTTCAATAACTTCCCTGCTTTGGAAAAAATAACAATGTCCAGCAATCTCCAATTTCTTCAGAAATAAATATTCCTTTGGCTATTTATAAGACAATACATTTCACTCATGTGTACAACTTTCTCACAACTCATACTACATTTAGTTCTTGGCTTTTTGTTGTAGTATTTGTAATTTCCTCTGCCTGTTCTGTTACGTTTGACAAAGACAACATGCTGTCTTTATTTCATAATTCTATCCATTTCTACTTGAATGGAATTATCAGTGTGCCAAGAATATAGTGTCTTATTATGCATCAACTCATATTTCAGTTTTTTTCCTGGTAGGTTACTATTTTTATCATCTGTTTGTTCTCACATTGCAGAACTGTATATTGTTGCTGCACCACCCCAAGACTAAGTTCTTAACCTGGCAGCAAAAAAATAGCATCATGAAACATTAACAAATGCTCATTTGCATTGGAAAATATATAATTCTGTCATCCTACTTGGATATAATTTGGACTCAGTAACATCAGATTTATGGAGAAAGATCATTTTTTGCAGTGTAATGCACCAAGTCTCTCTCTGCTCTTCACTGTACTCTGTCATCTCATCCCAGTTCCTCTTCCCTCTTGTTTCTTAATCATCGTATCCTTCCTCTCAGAGGCACATAAAAAAAAGAGACCGACTCACACCCATGTCCAATTAGCCTGACATGTGACTGGACTTAGAGCAGGAATCCAGGATTTTCCCTTCTGCTGCGTCACAGATTCACACTTGCGTAGATGGCTTAGCCCGAAACCTCAGTGACTGCATGTATAATTTGGCTTCTCTGTCTCTTTCTCAACCTTTCTTCTCTGTCTGTCCCTCTACAAAAAGACAGTTTCTGCAGCCTATAAAGCATAATGCAATTCTCATCATTTCTACCAATGAATGATGGGCTTCTACCTCATCTGTCTTCTCTGACTTTTGTATTTTTGTCTTTTGCTCTTTCATCATGTGTTGATGTCTCTCTCACTCTCATTTCCATTCTCTGTCAGTCTCTCCCTCATTTGCCCAGGTAACGGTGCTCAGAAAGCTGAGAACAAACACAACACCCACACTGCTCACTTGCGTCAGTGTAGCAATTTTCTTCCAAAAGACACTTTGACATAGAGCAGATAACCTCTGAGATCTCTCTCTCTCTCTCTCTCTCACACACACACACACACACACACACACACACAGTTGACATTGTATACTGACAGTTCAACTCCTACAGCCAATCACAGATGATATGCAACAACCAACCATGGAGTGAGACACATGTGAAGACACATAAAAGAAGGGGGGGGGGGGGGGTGTCACTATCACAGAACAGGTGACTCACCAGCAGGTGATGCAGTTGCTGTGACAACCTGCAGTGGGAGTGGAGCGAAAGGGAAGAACACATTGTGGGTGTTTGCTGTCGTGGGCGTCAAAGTCTAACACCACAGACCAAACAACTGATGAGCAAACAGAACCAGCTCAAAAGATCTAAGGCAGAGGGACAAGCTCATTCTGAATCCTGAACTGAAAACGGATTCAAAGGCAGTGTGGACAGCAGTGAAAAAATAAAGTGAGTCAGGAATAAAGTGCCCAATAGTTACTCTAGTTATGGATATTTATACCAGGAGGAGGAGGGTAATTAAATTACTGCACCAATTCTCTGTAACTAAACTTATCTGTTACAGTAGGAGGATTTTAATAAACAAGTTGCACTAAAACTTTTTATATGAAAAATGGATCAAATGACTGTACTGTGGGAAATGCAGCATATTATTTGATTTATGTTCTGTCTCACTATTAGAATATAATCTGCATGTTAAATCACAGGTCACAAAATGAACACGGAGTTTGATATTTTGTCCTACCATTGCGTGGACAGGTGTTAGGCCGGTTGATATCGAGTGAGCAGGGTTTGCGTGTGACAGCGGTGGTCACAGACTCGTATGGGTTGTCCTCATCTTCTGGCAGGAAAACATCCAGGGATGGAGAGGTGACAATCTCTGCTGAACGCTGTGAGTTCAGGGAGAAGGACAGAAAGAAAGAATGTGCGCATGCTTTATCTGAATGACACCAACTGCAAGTATTTATTTAGCTAAACAAACACAGCACTTATTACATCATTAACTCTGTACTGTAGCCACATGGCCTATTATCCCTTCCAACAGACTCATACAGGAGGTATCAATGAAGAGGCCTCTGAGTTCAAATGCACAATGATATACATCTCATTCTGTCTTGCAGAGCAGGATAAACATTTAATTTTTCATCTCATTCATAAGTATCTCCTAGTAACAGGTTTCTGCCACGTACTCAGGTCCCAATAAGCAACAGTAAAAATGAATGTATTCCCATCCAGTGATGTGATACCCACCAAACCAAGCACATCACAATGTTATTCATGTATGCATGAACTATAAGAAATCAGCAGTTTAAAGTGAAGATCTACTGCTTGAGTTTACACACAGGTACATTAACAAAGGTTCTACATTTTGTCTGATAATCAAGTGAAAACAGTTTGTCGTAACCAGACATCCATAGTTTGTCTTTGCTTCAGGAAACAGGTTGTGAAAGGTGGAGCAATGACAAGTTAGGGATGGCTTATAGCATCACTGCTTTGAGTCACAGACCCTCTAGCCCATATATGTCAAACTCAGGTCCGCGGGCCAAATCTGGCCCACGGTGTAAGTATATTTGGCCCGTGGGATGATTTCAAAAGTTTATTAGAGCTGGCCCGCCAGTATATATTGCATGCACCACTAATATTACAAATCCCAGAATGCTTTGCTGGTGCGCTGGCGCATCAATCAAGACCCGCAAGCAGCTTCTGTTGACATTGATTGACAACCTCATGCTACCAGTGGCCTCAGGCAAATTTAATCCACTCGTCCCAAAAAGGTAGCCAAACAAAAAATGGAAAACAGGAGCTTTCAAGACAGGTGGGAGGAAGATGATCTGTTCATTAATGTAAAGGACAGACCTGTTTGTTTTGTGTGCGGAGCCAAAGTGGCTGTAACGAAAGAATATAACATAAGAAGTCACTATGAAACGAAACACCAAGACAAATACAAGGACCCGGACATGAAGCAGAAGCTCCAGAAGGTAGAGGAGATGAAAAGAAGTCTGGCTTCACGGCAGAAAATGTTCACAAAATAAGAAACGAATGCCACTGATGTGTTTTTTTTATTGGAAATTTGATTTCTCATGTGTGTAGAATATTAAGCTTTGCTTGTTCCAAATCCAATGTTTAAGCAGCTTGTTTGTTTCCATATGAAAAAGTTTAGCATTATATATCTGGAGAGAAGGGAAAACATGCTCATTTTTTTCAATATTTCAATGAATATAGAGTCTGGGCCACAACTTTGTCACAGTTTTTAATTTTGGCCCACTGTGTATTTGAGTTTGACACTCCTGCTCTAGCAGCTGAAAAGAAACAAGGTCGAGTAACTTCAAAATGGTCAGCTGGTGAACCTTCTGAAGCCACAGTGATACAGCCATAATTCTAGCACATGATCTTACTCATTCGAACTATTCTCAAAAGGAGATTATGTTTCGGAGTTCAAGCAAAATATCAAGTTGATAACTACATGTATATTGTTCTCAAGCAAGATAATGACTCACCTTTAATTTAGGACTTGATGTATATCTTAATGTCCTGTGATTTCCATCAATGACCGCAATGCGGTCTTCAACAACCAGCTGTCCAAACAACCTACATGACAGCCACAACTTGTGTAACCTATTTTAACTCACACTGAAGAGAGTGTATGCCAAATACCCAATTTGAAATTTGCAAACTAAAGTAAATACGTCTGTGATTTGTAGCCTGTCTGTTTGGAGATGATGCATTCAGTTACACGTAAGGAACTGTTTCTTTGGGACCTTTATATAACTGTGCTCCATGTGGGTACTTGGGGACAATTCGAGACTGCACTTTGCTGCACTGGTGAAAAGGTTGAGCCCCCGAGGGCTCAGAGAAAGAGAGCTGAGAACGACCAAAAGGTCCCTTATCCCTGAGGCAGATGTGTACCCAGAAAGAATGAATAACAAGAGCAAGTGATGTAAACCAGGGCAAAAGGTTACAGGCACAAGCGTCATTTCAGTCGAAGAGACAAAACGCATCTTTCCAGCAATGAAGCCTCTGGATGTTTGCCTTTTTCCCATAATCCAGCACTATCATTATTTCTCAAGTGTCATTTAGCAGCCTCCCTCTGGCTGTACCCGCCCAGTGGTAAACTTGCCACCAGGTTGTGTGTGTGGCTACAGTTGTTCCCAGGCCTCTGATTATCTTTCCCCACTTCATGCTCTCCAAACCTTCTGTCCTCATTCAACAGCCATTACTCTTCCTGTCATCATCTACTACTACATTACCCAGACTGCACAAGGCTATCAATCACACACTGAGCACACTCAAAAAGGATTAATCATTCTGGCTGATAGAGCAATCAGTCCCATGATGATTTCTCTCTCTCTCTCTCTCTCACTGTATGCACTCAGTCCAAGTCTTATTTCACACTGCACTTTATTAAAATGCCTATAAACTAATCTCCCCACACACTTTCTTCTTTTCCCCCCTCCTTCTTCTGTCTCCATCAGCACTCAATTAGACTGCCATTACCAGCTAATGGAGATTCAGTCGGTCTTTTATGCCTGCACTCTGCAGGTGGCCCAGCCTCAGCAGACAGAGATTTGACGTGACAGCCTGGTTAGCTGCAGATTTCACTCAGAGCTGAAGGCTGATAGCACTCTGATAAAAAGCTACTACTAAATCAGTGCCCCTTTCACGGACATAAAAACTTTACACCAAATTATGGACTCACCTGGCAGCTCAGATTAAAGGTGCAATGGAATCATCTGCACATTAATTGTGAGACTTTAGAATAACTGATTTAAAAAGCAAAACCACATGTAAAAAAATATCTGCTACTGTACAAGTCACTAGACTGTATTTTACAGTGCATTTGCATGCACATAAGTAACAGGATTACATTTAGATTTCTGAAAAAAAGATTTCTTAAATGAAGTATATAAATATTGCTGTAAATGTGCCAGAGTTCTTCTGTGGTCTCCTGGTCACTGACCTGCTGCAGATATATGCAGATTTACAGAAACCAGGTTACTTACAGCACACGACTTTTCTGGAGTGACCAGGTTTCTTGTGGAAATAAAGTTTTACAAGTTAAGGCAGTTATTGGAAATGAAAGTAGATTCAAATGGAAACAAAAACTAATGAGACCATTGTCTTTGCAAGAGGAAGTGATAAAGCTAATGGGAAAATACAGTCCTGACTTGAAAATAAAATATGATTATCAGATCTGATGAAAGAGAAATGTGAGACTGAGGCAACCTGTCATCTCAACCATGGTCTCATTTGTTTAGAGGAATTACCGAGATGCCATCATGAATTAAAGATTTTGTTTGAGGTTCTAAAATTCCACAAGTAGAGTAGCATCATTAATACCAGCACTGACAGAATGAGCTCAGGAAAGAGACTCCTCTGCAGTGTCTACAGGGAGAGTAGAATAAAATGAACCGGAATGAGGGGAAAGCAATAAAGAGCAGGAAATGATTAGGAACTATGCCCGAAATTATCTTCACCCATAACATGTAAATTAATTTTCAACTCGAGTTCCATGTTCTATGGCTTTTGTTTCATGCCCCTCATCAGTACTTCTGCCTCTAATATCTGTCTTTTATTTCTACATCATCTCTCACTATACCAATTACTCTAAAACCCAGGCACCGTGGCAGCTTAGGAAGAAAAAGAGACAGTGAGGTGAGCTGAAAGAAACCATTACCCAGGATAAAGACAGAGAGAGAGAGAGAAGAAAACATGAAGTTCATCAAAGGACGCCAGGCTCCAACTCAGCACTTACTTTAAAGTTTGTGTCAGTGAATCCAGAAGAGATGAGCATGAGACAGAGACAGAGCGGGAAAAAGAAAATTAGCTCGTACTGACGAGAGGAAGCAAAGGAAGTGGGAGTGCAGGGCAGCTTGGAGCAGGGATTTCCTCAAACACACAAGCATAGGAAAGACACACAGAAATGGGAATTAAGTATGAACAACGTGCTGGACTTCT